AAATGTGTTTCGCGCTTTACGTCCGATTTATGGTCTACATAATATTCAAAGTTGAATTAAGATGTTTTGGTATTCGAAAAAAAAATATGGGACACGAATGACGTTTCTTTTGGCCAGGAATAAAAACGGTGTGAAAATACCTTACTACTGAGATCCCATAAGTCTAAAACAGAAGATTTTGGGCCCAGTTATTCAAGTTTTTCGAAAATCAATATTTGAAAAAAGTAAAAAAAACAGCATCAAAAATCTCATTCTTACGATTCCGTTGAAAAGATTTTTAAATATTTTTATGCAGATTTTTTAAGCTTATTCTAATTTGTTATCTGAGGGGACTTTTTTCAAAAAGTTCTTTAAGAAACTATTTTTATTCATAAAAAACTTCATTTTTGGAGGTATTTTCAAATCGGTCCAGCTCACTTAAATCTTAATATTTTTACGAAATATTTTGGTGGACGTCTTAAAATATAATAAATTTAGTAATCCCGTTGGAAAACCCGCAACTTTTTTTGGTGATGCAGTCTAATGAACATAGGTGTGATTAAATTTTTCGAGTTTATTTGGAAAATGAGACGCGCTTTAGTGAGTGTATGAGTACACATATGTAAGTGGAAGATGAGCAATGACGCCGCTAATAATCAACAGTTCAGGCAATGGTACCTCATCAACGCACTACTCGAATAAATGAGAACGCACGCTGCCTGACACAACCAGTGTTGCCATTTTGGTGCTTTTGGAGCTAGATTTAGCTCTCTATATTTCTATTTAGCTCCGGAAATCGGGCTAGCTAAAGCTCCTAGCTCTTTTTTAAGCTCTTTTCTAAATTATCTAGCACTTTTTAAGCTCCAGAAAATTTAAGTTGTATTTGGTAATGTATTAAAATTACAAATCGGAAATTCATTGTACAAGCGTTGACCAAAATTTATTTGGCTTTGATGACCTCAGGTTATTCTCAATCCCTTCAAGTTGTTCTATTTCGATTAATACTTAGAAAAGTTCAGTTTCTAATGCAAATGGCGCGCAAGCAAACCGGAAAAGGGCAATTAAGTCAATTCTCTTTCAGGAGGCCCCGGTAAAAAAAGAAAGCCAAATCTTAAGCATTGATAAATTTGTCATAACCCCAGCTTTTATGGTCAATATTCAAATATCTGAAATTGCAGATTGTAACAGGTTGTAAAGTAATTTTTGTTCATTTTCTACTTTATATAAGTATGTGCATACATATGTATACGTTTTATAAGTTCCATAGCAATGAATTTATTTTGATTTTAAAAGTTTTTTGCAGCACATAGATTTATGAAATTCGTCGATTTTATATAAATTGCGAAAAATGTAAAAACAACTTTACGTCAATAAATGTTCAACTTAAAAAAAATTTTGCTCTCCATTTTGGCTACCACTAGTATTATTGAGCTCTTTTTTCGACCCTTTTTGCTCCAAACGAAATTTGTTTCTGGCTACACTGGACACAACATTGAATTATGTGCGAAGTGCAAGTGTCATTAGTGCAAATGGGGTCTGATGAGAACACAAAGCACTGAGGCAGAAACACATCCACCTTAAAACCCTACTGCATTTTAATTAAAAAACAACAAAAAACGTAGCTGCTTAAAGGAAAATGTTACGCTGTCGTGTGGTTGCACTGCTGTTTGCATCGGCATCGACCTCCTACATATGGTCGACCAGCTTTGCTGTGGAAAGTGGAAAAATAAGCAGGAAGTGATACGAATTAGAGTCGAGTATGATACCAACTCCACTTGTTTTCCATATCCCTTATTATTTACTATACTTAAGTGCAGTGCAAAATGATATGGACAATGCTTATATGTACTAATAAGTTAGCAGATGAGTTGTGTAAAGCAGTTCAGCCTTTACAAGTAGTTTTTAAGCAAAAAACAAAACCGACTTCAATTCTCATATACAAATTTAAGAGTACCGTTAATTTCTTCATGATCCAATGATCGCATCTAAATCAAATTAGTATGGGACCACCTCTGAAATATTTCGACTAATTGATAACCTCCTGCTTTTTTAGAAGACGGTTAATAACAAATAGTTTTTCTAACGAACAGTGGTCCAGAGCTCACATTTTGTACGTGTCTCCTATGAACCGTGACCGATTTTTCTCGAATAACAAACATATTAATCTGTTTCGAGCAGCCCTGCCAGATGTACGGATTTTTCCGGAGTGTCTTTTTCATATTGTAAAAATTTTCCTGCTTTACACATATCTCATAGGTTTCTTATAGTTCCCGAATCCTTCATTTTTTTTAAGCGTTATTTTTGTACCTGAGGGACTTATCTATTAGCAGCTTGACCATTTTTCACCAGATATTAAAAAGCAAACACGAGAAGAGGATTTACAGGTCTTTAAAATTATGTATAATAATCTATTGGTAGACTTCGATTGTAGGGAAGTTGTTCCACGTAAAATTAAAAAAAAATACCGAGTTTTCTTTATTTTTTCAACTTTAACCATCGCTTCAAACATTACACTATTACTTGGTAGGGTCGACAACCTACCTGAAAAGTTTTTTTTTGTATGTACATTAGACTTTGTCAAATAAAACGAATGTTTTTTCTATCAGTCCCATATTCGAATTTCATATTTTCATTGATCCCGATCAAGGCACATAAATACAGGTAGAAGCCAAAATGACGTTGCTCTCATGAGAACCAAACCTTTAAACTTCAACTTGATTTTATTTTATTTCCTATATTTCGTTACGCTTTGAATGTCATATCGTTGTTTTTTTTTGAATGTTCGTTAATAACAAATTTAAATTTGCATTTGAATTTTTGTAGTGTTGTGCGGTTTATACTTAGTGTATGTGTTAAAAATGCAACACCTGAAGCGTTGTGTTTTATGTGGTGTTAAATATAAGGCAGATACCACGAATTTTTTAACGTGCCTCAATATCCTTCGCGTAAGGAACGTTGCGAAAGCAGCTGTGGGCAGAGCTGCAGTGAAATGCCTTGCTGTGCGATAAACATTTTAAAGAAGTAGATTCCACAAATACACCGGGAGGTACAGGAAAGGCACGTTTGAAGCCAAGTGCTGTTCCTATGACCCTTATGCCGAAAAGTCCCTCCAACAACACTGCAACTCATAAAACAAAAACAGAAAACAACATACACGTTTTATCAAATTTTAACTAAAGAAAATAAATAAATAAGAATAAACTTCAAATATACTTACAAACGTCAACCAGTGAAATGTATTTTTTTATTTTTCCTTACACACGCTCATTTTTATTTTTACTCTCCCGAAAACTTTGACTTTTGTAGGTTTGATGTCAATTTGGCTTCTACCTGTTTTTATTGTACCATGGTTACGGATATCGTATTTTAAAAGGTAAACACCATTTTACTTAGAACAACAATCAAGATAAGAAAATATAATTTCTATTATTTTTAATTTTAAAGTTTTGCTGGCTTACAAATTTCTAAAAGCTCATCAATATGCTATAGCAAAGATGTATATTAATGTTAACCTCAGTGCTGGCAGTCTTTCATTATAAAAATTGTGGTTGTATTGTGATTAATCCCACTGCTCCGTGGTCGGATGGGGAATTGATGAAACCAAGTTTTTTTGAAAGCCGGGATTTTATATAGAAAAGTAATTTCTCAGTTTTCCGTGCTTGGCGTTTTAAAGGTTTTTTAATTGAAGTGGGTGATCGCAGAGCCGCATTTAATTCAACTAAATGTGAATAAAAGGCAAATATTTACACCTCAAAAGACCTTTCTGGGGGTCTTGGGGTCCAAAGAATCTGAATTTACAACTTACTTTTATCAAAAAGGCCAGTAGGATACGTTTTAATTAAAAAAAAACATGGAAGGAACATGAAGGAAAAGTGGAAACAATGTTTCTCAGCAATATTTTTAAACAATGTTTCTTCATGTTTATTTGCACCAAAGTGCACCCAGCAGCCGCNGCAACTTACTTTTATCAAAAAGGCCAGTAGGATACGTTTTAATTAAAAAAAAAACATGGAAGGAACATGAAGGAAAAGTGGAAACAATGTTTCTCAGCAATATTTTTAAACAATGTTTCTTCATGTTTATTTGCACCAAAGTGCACCCAGCAGCCGCGTTTTTGGTAGAAATGAACATCGGATTCGGTTTCCTCGTGTCCGACTATTTCCAGAAAGGTATTTGTATGGTATAAATATTTGCATTAAAT